TACCAGTGTACAACAAACTTCAGCTGTTCACTGATCTAGCGCACATTGATTTCCCGCCACTCGACAACTTTATCAAACCTGGAGACAAGCCGCAGCACACGGTCACTCCACTCGATCCATTTCCTGACGACGCTCTCTTTAACAAGTTTTTTGCATCGACCATTTTTTTGAAGCATTTTAACTTTGAAGGAACTCTGCCCAAACAATATTATTTAGTCCCTCAGTTTAAAATTTTGCCTTTTCTTTGGGCTTCCCGTTTTCNTTTAAAATTTTGCCTTTTCTTTGGGCTTCTCGTTTTCACCGAATCATCTAAAACATTAGTACATTTTGATTTCAATCTATATAACCACCAACCAATTATTTTTACAGCATAAGATTTTATTTTTTACCTTTTTAACCAATTTTTCGACTCTAACGACTACTCAATAAACACTCGAATACGAGTTTATATATACCACATTTGCAACTGTCTTTTTAAAGTTCTGTTGATAACTAGGTGTTTACCTTCAAACGTTCACAATAAACTTTCAGCTTTTATTTACATAAACTTTGCACACGCAAGCAAATTGTTATTGTTAGTAAACGGATTTACTGGGAAATCTATTGAGAGGTTTTATGCACTCATTGTCAGGCGTCCAGCGCCAACAATCAATTTCTCAGCATCATCGACCCTTCACCGCTTGGGCGAGGGCAATAAAAGCATTGGTCATAGCACGTCCAACTGGCACAATTTCACTGGCAGGTAGCTCAAAACCAAATCGACCCTTATCAGGACACTCCACAGTGTAGGCGTACTTGGCTCCAGCAGAGCCTAGTGCAAAATCGTCAGCTCCTCCAGCAGCGGCGTCTGATCATAGATAAGGCAATCTATAAATTACTGCATTTTTAGAAACAAAAAAACTTACAGAGCACAGTTGCCGCAGTTCCAATGGTGAATCGAGTACTAGGCGAGACTTGATTCCAGGCAGCCACTGCTACTCTAGCAACTCGATTCTAGAAAAAATTAGCAATTAGCAAATCTTGACTCAATCTCAAAGGGTTTAATCTTTTTACCAGTTCAGCGTTGTTTGAAGCAAATTCTCGACCATATCCCTATAATAGTTCCAACTGTTATTAGACATTTACCTCAGGAATTTCCCATTACCCAAGGGTAAAGCCAATACTGTCCGTATGAGTGTACGGCAATGAACGCACTCAGTCGACCTCGAAAGTTGTTGAGAAGGTAGTCGGCTTCTGCCTTTGNTCTTGACTCAATCTCAAAGGGTTTAATCTTTTTACCAGTTCAGCGTTGTTCGGAGCAAACTCTCGACCATATCCCTATAATAGTTCCAACTGTTATTAGACATTCATCACAAACCATTTCTCATTACCCAAGGGNTACCCAAGGGTAAAGCCAATACTGTCCGTATGAGTGTACGGCAATGAACGCACTCAGTCGACCTCGAAAGTTGTTGAGAAGGTAGTCGGCTTCTGCCTTTGTTTCCGGCTCTGAAAAGGCTCTTTCACCTCGGAAGGTTTCAGCGCAGGGCTGACTGCTCGCCCCTTGTCCGCCCCATCTGTAGCCGTAGTTTCGATTAGGGTCGGCGCCGATGCAGCCAATCCAGGATCGACTTGGCTGTCGAGTCTTTCGCCAAAGTCGAGACTACAGAACATTATGCTGTGTTAGTTCAGTGCATAACCACAGAAACAACTACTCACATTGGTGTGCGTGTACTCGTAGCCGTCAACATTGAGGACTGGGACAATGTAAAAGTCGTAGTAGGAAAGCAGATCCCTGGTCACCTGGTCACCCGAGTTGTACTTGTTGACTAGCTGCTGAGCAAAGTAGGTCACTGCCGCCGGGCTGATCCACTCTCTGGCGTGGATGCCACCTTGAATCCAAATGACCTGCTTTTGGGTGCTGGAGTTGACGCCAATGCGAACTGCTTTCAGACTTCGCCCTTGATAAGACTGCCCAAAGGTGACTGTCTGCACAAAAGATGGGTTCTTCTGCGCCAGTTCATTCACAAAAGCCATGTGCTGGTCGTAGCGTTGGTATTTCATCCAAAAGCCAGCAATTAATTGGTCCCCTTGGTTCCACTCAGGCCACCGAGCGTCGAGCATCTTTTCGTCGGCTTTCTTCTGCTGCTGGCGTTCATTTTCCACTAGTCTGTTTTCGATTTACTGACAGTGGTAAACGATAACAAAGTGAATTGCCAGCTGTACTTACTGTTCAACATCGGCAATTAGCACTGAATACTGCAGGCCATTGTCGGCAAAGTACTTGAGCAATTTCTTTTTGCCTTCCGGAGCAATCATCACATCGGCATTCATGTTCACCTTGTCTGCATCCCGCCAGAAGTCCACCTGCAAAGATGTCCACATGTTATCAACCAAATCAGTTTGCAGATCAGTTCGTTGAAGCGTTCATACATCTTGCTCTTCCAGTTGCTGTATCAGCTGCAGCTGAGTCTCATTACTTGCTCGCACTCTAAAGACTGAATAGTCGTGGTAGTGCTCCACCGAAGCAGAGGTCACTGCCACCAGCAGAACGACCACCAGGGCAAACTTCATGTTTGTTGGCTTTCAAGTTCAAGCACGTGTGATCGGGCTAACCAGGAAAACTGGTCGCCTTTATATATGTCCTAGTGGTCAGGTCTGGACTGTGTGCTCTACTCGTTATCACCTGCAACTGCAAACTAGGCCAGATAAGGGCTATAAAGCTGTCCCTGCTCCACTGCTGCTGCTTCGACTGCTACTATTTGTCATGTGGCCTGTTGGTCAATAGCAGTAAACGATTTACGCACTTGTTTGCTTTTTTATTGCTCGATAAGCCCGTCTGTGTTTGCTGCTATTGATGTCAATGCTGCTGATGGGGTCAGCGGCAGCATTGTTTCACCCTAAACAGTGCACCCATTGCTTCATGGGCTTTATTGCAAGCATTTTGGTATTCATCTACCAAAATGTCTTTCTTAAACTGCCCATCAAAG